ATAAATGTATTGCTTCATGAACAGATCAGTCCTCTTCCCATCTTTTGTTTCCCCCATATCTTCCTCTGTCACCACCTGAGGCACGCTTAGCAGTGGGATCGAGAAGCCAACTGCTCTGTCACCTACTACCACCAGTGTTAAGGCCACTGCACCTCCTTCCACTGAGAGGTCTACTGCCAATGTTACTTTGTTACGGAGTAACTCTATGGGAAGCCTACGTATGAGTGGCAAGCAGAATAGCTGAGCTACAAGTAAAAGCCAAGAGAATTGAGAGATACCATCCTTGTAAATCATGACTGCAAGAAACTGGTAGGTCTTCTTCCTCTAATAATCAGATATGTATATTCGTCCACTTGCCTCTTACCTCAATCAAACGCTTCCAAAATAGTCCCACGTTTCCTCTCTTGATAAAAGTCTTTCCTCTATTTTCTCCTCTTCTGCTGAACACAGCTACTTAACTATCTACTAATCTCAAGTGATCTCTCTAACTGCTCAAGATAACTTTTCCCTGAAAGTTAATCTCTCGCTGAACGCTTCTGCTGAGAAGGGCATAAAGAAGTGGAGTTTGTTTAGCCAGCTCCCACCCTCAGGAAGTGGACAAGGCTCCTGTCCGCCCGGCTGCTGACAGACAGCAACAGGTGCTGCCTCGTAGGTTTGTCTAAAACCACGTAAACCACAGAGGTTTGTCTAAATAAAAGACAAGATAATTTTGAGGAGATTTTCCTGAGGGTACGTATGCAGGATGGCAGTTCGAGACCAAAAGGCTGCTGATAAGCTACTTTATCTTAAAGTCCAAACTAACTTCTATTTTCAGCTTGCTTTTTGTCCCATCACCTCCAACTTCTTGCCTTTTGTATTGTGCTCCCGTTTTATATCTGCCCTTCCGCTTTTATCGTCCTATCATGCCTCCAGTTCACCTCTTCTCTCTGTTAGCATGTCCTTATTCTTTCATTATTCTCCTTTACAAGCAGCAAGTTACTCTATATGCGTGATCTTCTAGTTACTGTACTATGCTTTGGGCCATCCAGTCTAACAATCTTTCTACATGAAAGATAGGCTACTTCCTCCTTATCCACACTACCTTTGCTAGCAGTAGAAACACTGGCTAATGCTAATTTAATAAATCTTCTCAATCTGAATTTAATCTGAATTTATCTTAATCTGATCCAGATTCTGATTCCAGATACCTACTCTCCGGACACTGCAGAGAAAGGCATCTTTAGCAATGGACACCCCAGGCTAATACACCCTTTGTATGGATAGCACCATCAGATATGCCCATTACCAGAAATACATCAATATATGTAAGCATAGTATGTAAGCATAAACAGCAATTTTCAAAGGCCACAAACTGACCAAATGCAACGTATTTTCATCAGGGCTACCTCCTACCAAACTTTTAGTTTCTATTCCAAAGGAATGAAACAGTGCAGCTTTGTAGCTCTATGCCTATTTTATTATTGTTGTTATTCCAAAATATTCCATTTCCCCTAATCTCATTCTCAAAATTGCAAACAAACTAAACATGGGAATGCCATTTATTCTGAGGCTCTTACAAAAATACTCGTTCTCAGGTGGGAAACCTCATCCTAACAAGGTTAAAATTTCAGAGTTATAAGCTTAAAGGCACAACCGATAAATAGTAGGTTCCTAAAGCCCACTTTGCTTTCAATATACACGTGCTTAAACACTGTTCATTTCTTCATATTTGACTGTAAATGTAGGATAGCTAAGAACAATTAGTCTCATGCAGCGAAGTTATTTGTAGTTTTATGGTACTGCAAAAGGGGAGTTGGTGGGTGGAATTTTCCAGATTTCTTGCTGTAAAAGCCATTAGTGAGCAAAAGCATAAGGAAAAAATAATAGACAAGAGTCATATTTTTGAAAAAAGGGAAGTTGTAAAATGACACGGAGCTCAATCAACGTGATTAATTTGCTTTACACTTTACGGAGGCTTTTGCCTTCACCTTCTAATTCTGGCAACTGTTCTGCTGAATCAATCTCACAAACCCAAATTAATAAGGTAGGAATGACAAGTAAGGCTTCATAAAGGTTAGCTGCAATTTAGACAATAAGAGACAGGTCTCTGCTTACAATACAATCAGGCACAGTTTGACTGAAAATCTCTTCAGTCAAAAAGCCTAAGTTATCAAGTTGTGAATGCACATGTCCTCTACTTTCATTCATCTCAATGAATCATTAGTTTGGTGAATTGTTGCTTGTGGTGCCTAGTTTCGATAGTTAAAATCTTTGTTCTCAGTGGTTCCTTCCATTTACATAGGTGGGGAAGTGTAAAGAACATAGCAGGGCAAGAGGTTCAGCATCACCCTCTCCTCAATAGTTATGCCATTTGTTGCCCAGCTCTCTGCATTCCCACTGCAGCCCGCCTCCGCTCATTTGTCCTCTTGTTCTGGGTCAACTAGGAAGAAACACCCCTGGGAGAAGCAAGGGGAGCCAGGACAGATGGATGAATTACATCCAGGAAACTCCCCTTACTTTCAGTAATGGTGAATGGTAGGAAAACAAGAAGGCAGATAGAGTGTAGAAGGTTCCCATGCAAGTCCCGATGCAAATCCTGATGTTTTCTAGAAAAAGCATATGGTGGAAACATATATCACCATTAATTTTTCCCTCCTCGGACGATATTTGTGTTTTATAGGCTGCCAATACTGTCACAGAGGAAAATATAAAAATCAAAGTCAGGCCCTCAAAAAAAATTAAAATAAATTTATTTGCTCCCTACTCTCTAACCTATTTGTTCCATTTCTCATTTTCAAACTTTTAGTCATGACATTAAGGCAAAATTATTTTAAAAGAGAAAAAGTATATTTTTCATATTGTCTTTTGACTTCAATACCAAAGCATTAAAAGGAAAAAGAAAAAATACCCTTATGAATTATCACCAGATTCATGATAAAAATCATGTGACATTAGTCTTATATTTAGTATTGCTTAATACAGTCACAAACTCTTCCACTGAGAAAAGGGCAAAGAAACCTATTTGCTTCCCAGTTTTCTCTTCTTGTATTTTTTTCTCAGAGAAGACATACATGGCCACATGCTAATATCACTTCAGCTATGACACTGAAGAAAGTCAATAGAAAGCTGAGACTTTATTAAAAAACAATACATTTGCAGTCTACCATTCCATCCTTTTCCAGGGTATATTCTCTACTTACTTCAAAGTGAGAATTTCTGTCACACTGCCTCAGCTGGAAGTAGATTAGGGGTTTTATGTGACCCTTCATCCTCAGAAATTTCCTTTTCAACTTTTACTCTTTAGCAGTTGCAGTGGATAGGCTTAACACTCTCTTATAACTACAACACACATCACTTGGAAAAAGAAGTGCTGGGGAGTCAAAAGGTATTCAGCTTGAAGAAACAACAGATGTCTTTATAACACATATGGTAATCCAGTCCATATTTAAATTTATTCTCATTTAATTCCTGACCTTGTTAAATACAATGCCCTAGATTCAGTGTTTTCCCTGAAAGATGAGCCCAATAAAGGAAAGTAACAAGAAAACTTGAAATTCAATACGAATATGCAACAACCATTACTATAAAGCACATATTTGTGTGAATTTCACCCAGAACAGTAGCATTTCCATTGGTGGGCCCTGGAAATACAGCAAGTAGCACAGAAAAACAGCTACCTGAAACCAATATGAATGACAGTCATACACAGTCTTCTAATGGTGATATAGAAGGAATTCAAGAGATGCCAGTATGACAGTTAGTGAAATTCAAGTTTAAATAATTATTAAGTAATGCCTGTACCAGGACATATTTCCTTTCAGCTAAGCAAAAACATAGCCTAAGAGGCAGGTGAGCAACAAATGAATGCACAGCAATTGTTGTATCTGTCTACAGCACAGTTCTAATAGTATTTAACTCCCTCGTTTGTATTGTATGTCTGAGATCATTTATAATCTGGCCTTACTTCACAGTAAGCTTTGCAGCAGTTATGGAACTCTACACTATAGAATAGACTGTTCTGATCTCTTAGGATCATTTCTTACTAAGTATCAAGTACTTAAAATAAATGATTTCTTCAAAAGTTTGTAAACTACATAGAAAACGTGGAAATTACATTTTCTTGCCTTCCTCAGTGATGACAGAAGACTGCAGTGAAAACTCTTAACATTATGCCATCATACTACTTGACTTTTCAGACAGATTTATTCTAGTTTGTCCAAGGCAGGCAAAAATAATAAAAAAAACCAAGGGGATATCAAGATATCCTGAGACAATGTGTGTCAATATTGAGGAAAGAACAGGAAGACAGAGAAAATCATTGATGTTCAACTGCCTGCGGGGGTTGTGGACTAACAGAAGAACATCATCACAACAATTCCAGCTATTTGATAGGCATCCTTACCTGCAGAAGACAAACAATAAAGCAATCAAGTGGCAATCTGGCAGGAAGAAGGTTAAATCAGTGTTCTACATAACATTAATGATAGCGCACTTTTTCTGTAAGCCCAGTGGGAAATAACACAACCTTGCAGACTGAACACTGAGTGAGAATGAGTTGGTGTGACTTATGCTAAAACACATGTATGTGCTATAATTTGAAAGTAATGCATCAAAAAAGCATCTGCAACTTTAAAAGTTATCCTTTCACAAATGCATAGTAAGTGCTATTGTAAGTGGTATTTTAATCCCAGAATCTACAGACACACGATCTGTTTTTTCTAGCAGTGTTTCCTTGGGAAGGAAGCAATGAACAGACATGCAGGATTGATAGCTGCTCCATATCTGATAATAATGGACTTCTGAGACTTCTGCTATACAGTTAAATAAAGAGAAAATAACATTAATGGAGAATAACATTAAAGGCAGGATGATTCACCTCCCTGAAAAGGGAATCTTCCATCACATTTAAATACTAACCCCTTTGCAGACTGAACTCCAAATGTTAAAAACCACAAAATCTTTTTGACCAGTTGGACATAGTTACATCAGTACTGCCTCAAAAGGTGGACTACAATGATTACCTTTATTACAAAAGTATTCCACTTCTTCACAGCTCAGATTTTCAGGCTCAAACTCTGCAGAGAAGCTTCCCTCCAATGGAAAGTCTTCTTTAGAGATAATATCGTTTTCCTCAGACAGGCATTCTTCTTCTTCATCCTCAATGGCATCCTCGAGGGGCCCTTTAAAAAGAATCAGGAACACTGTGGCAAACCATCTAACAGGACAACGTGAAATAAAACCTTAGTGAACTCCTAACTGGAGGCCTTGAGCTAGCTTTTCCTTCCACTGCTGTGTTCAGCATTTATTAGAACTGAACAAATAATATGTAACAGAAATTGAAATAAAAAGTGACTGTTTTCCTAACTGATTAGATAAAATCAGAAAAAGCAAAATGTTGCTGTCACTAATACTTGCATATGTTTCTGTTGTTATTCATCAGATTTTAGTGTTAAATAGTTTTAATAATGGAAATCAGAATTATATGTAAAAGCCATCTTGTCTTTTTTTTATGCTAAATTACAGTACTTAATAGGTTACCCCCTTACAGATTTCTAGAGGTAACAGGACTGACATCAGTAAAGTACTGTAGAGGTACTGACAGTATAAACTTCAACGTATTCTGCTATTTTGCTTCAGCCAGCACCTGAAAGGGTTTTTTAAAAGTTTCATATTAATTTACTATATTCTTTAATAAACTGCCAGTCAATGGATGGGTTTCAGACAGACTTATTTCATTTCAGAGGCCAAAGAACCATTGTGTTAAACTACTAGCTGAAGGCTACAGAAATATAAGCCAGTTACAGAAGCAGGGCATGAGTCTGAATTTGAAATAGCAGCCTGAGGTCTTTGATTCTTCTAGTTACCTACACATCCTATTCCTACAGATCCTCTTCAAGAGAGAGCGTTTGGCAGATCTATAATACATAATGCCTAGGTTACCAATTGGAATGTACTCAAAAATTAAAAATTCTTCTTTCTTATATACACATTTTACAGTCATTGGTTAATAGTAACTATGTGGTAAAGACATCTCTTGTGCAGATGCAGAATTCTACCCTAAATTTAGATAGAAATTTGAAAAGACTGAACATATTTTGATTTAACTAAGATTTTATTAAATGTCAGTATGTTTCAAAATCCATCTTTAGACTGGATTTCAAAAGAGATATTTCATTATACATGGTTGAGGCTTGAAAAAAAATTACATATTTCACTCTCCAGTGAAAGCACAGCCTCATCTATAATTGACTGAGCATTTCTTGCTAGAAAGGAAAGCTAGGTAGCTAATGAAAAAAAATGTAATTTGTATTTATATGATAGTTTTCCACTATTAAATACACTATTCCTATATATTCTATTATGCTGTGATACAATACATAAATGATTCTGTTGCACTCAATGAAAAGAGAGGAATAAAATTTTTAAAAGAAGTCAAATATTGACTACACTCTAATTTTATGTAATTTATTATGAATCAGTGACTACCTAAATTTATTAAAACAGCAAAATTCACTTTAGGCTAGGTTGTGTAATTCTTGCTTCAGAGGAATATGATGGTTACTTTTTATTGAAATTGATTGAGATTCCCAGCTGGGATTACATAAATTAATATAGCTTACTATCTTTCATGGAAATATGACTATTTAGGTCAGCTGAGAATCTGATCAAATGAACTCACTTTTGTGGACGCATACTCACCACTATTAGTCATCATTCAACAATATATCTCTTAAAATAAGGTGCTATTATTATGGCTGAAGAAATTAAGTTTCCCTGCTATCAGAGTGTCCATTATTGTTAATTGCACTTTCTAGCTACGTTGGGAGAAAATCCAGCAATACGCACACCGAATGAAGAGTGGTTAACCTACTACACTGAGTGGAGAACAAAGCATTAATGTACATGGGAAGAACTGCCAGCAATGCATTGCATTTAAATATAAGCAACTTGGACACTTTACAGGTGTTCAGTTTCAATTCAGAGATAAAAACATGAACCGAATAATGTAAACAGCAATAATTATGTAAGACAGATATCATTGTCTATTCTTGCATCTCTCTTTCTTTATTTTAATTATTAAAGGCGATTTGTTTTTTAAATTTGTAAAGATTTATATAAATCTCCATAAACCCATCATGAAATTAAACCAGGAAGAATTCATACACTTTTATGTCTGAAGATTATGGCAGCACTACAGAATACAAATATGAAGACTTTTTTTTTTTTTTTTTTTAACTACTCACCAAATAGGGAAACAATATTTGAAACCAAAAATAGTCCTACTTGATCTGATATGTAAAGTTCAAAGGGTACGTAACAGACTATCAAAAAATATCTTTGAGCTCTCACGATTTTATTAGCACATGACACTGTCCGTAGAGACATTTATTGATGTGTATTCCTAATAACAGGAAATGCAAGTTTCAGTCGTGTATAAGCATAGATAAATATGTTCTACATCGTACAAAAAAGAATCATATGCCTTTAACAAATTTTTCACATTTTTTTATTTGGGAAAAAATATAAGCTTCAGCCAACATTTCAGTGAAAGCTGACTTCCTGATGAATGACTTGTTTTTTTGTCATAAATTAACTTTTTCAAAGAGTATCTTGAAAAATAAACTAAAAACAATATACATGCAAGCAATCTAGTTGGCGGGTATATATGATATTCAGGTCTGTTTCTAGACCAGAAAGCCAGTTTGTTTGATCAGGTCACCAGCATGTAATCAGCAAGCAATAATTACCATATATAAATTAAGAAGATAACAGAAGTGTAGTCAGTATGTTTCCATTTGTAGCAGTCATGGAAACACACACCTTATAATTTCCATTTCCAAGAAGGCAGAAGGAAAACAATGTAAAAACCACCTCTGCAGCACAGGTTCAAAAAATAGTCCCTTTTGAGGGCTGGGAGTTTATTTTTTAACAAATCTCAGATTTAAAAAGTTATTAGCAAGTGCTTTTATAGATGAATCTTATGCACAAACATACATGTAACATTTCCTTATTTTGTGTAAGCATTTGGATGCTTAAATGTAAATTTTGTCACATCCAGACAAAACCAGATGTATGCATACATCTATTTGTTTTTACTTTGTATATGTCAACCCACAAGCACCTATAAAAAAAATACATGTTTACCAAGTCACGTACAGACGCACATCACGCTGTTAGGTAACGTTTTACCGGAGGGGCTGACATCAGATGCTGGGCTCCTAAAAACCATCATGACTTCTGTTGAAATTGAGGGGTCAATGTGTAAATTTATTTCTAGGTTTCATGATGCTGTAGCATTGTATAATTAATCCATCTACAAAGTGATCCTTCAGACAAATTCTGTCTTATTCATGCTGAGTCGTCTTTTACTTTGTAAGTGTTCAAATGCATTCATAGCATGTCCAGGCCTATAAACTGATAACTCTCATAGAATAACTAAAGAATAAGGCATTATTCAACATCAACAAGACCAGTTCACAAGGATAATAGCAAAATTAAATATTTCTTGGTTGCTAGTTTCATGTAAGCTGAAATATTCATGCTTGGATTTTGTAGCTATTTTTAATTATCACTCAAACTTATGCTTGGGTTAAAGAAAGCAGTGAAACCAAAAGCTTATTATTAGGAAATATAAACAGATTAAACTATCTCTCCTTGATGACTTCATCTAATTATTCACACATAAGTAGACATTGAATTTGAACAAAAATAAGTTGTCAAAATCTCACAATAAAAATTGTATGGAATTACATATTCTTGACTAAGGCACTAACACAAACTTTCCAAACTTTTCATCTTTGCCTAATTTGTCCATTTAAGTTTTTTACATAGCCTCTCCTTGCTATCAGTAAATCAAGTCAGCTAACGTACTATCATCTCTGGTTCACAAATGTAAAGGTAGATTTTCAGGGTTTCCTAACCCCCCTAACTAGGGGACAACATATACGATGTTTGCTCAGTTTTATGCCTGATTTAAAAATATAGAGACATAAAGACAAAAATAAATACGTTTTTAAAAACAACTATGTTTATTTCAATTGTTTTCTCTGATAGTGCTTTTTTAGCCCGTTATTACTAATTTTGTTAATATATTACCTTCCACAGTCTGCATGCAGCTTAATCAGTTACTTTAGTACTAAAATTTACCTTCTTTTTTTTTTTTTAATTGTTGTTTTAATTTAGTTGTATTACACCCATTACTTGCACCTATCATGTTACTAAGCAGCTATGGCACACATGCTATATCTGCTTATATGTTACTAATGTTTATTTCAACTGCGACAGGATCAAGGTCCCATCCCTGTTCTGCTGAAAAATGTATTTCAATAACTTAATCAAGTCTGACATTGACAACAAAACAATGCAACAATGACACAACAATGCAAATCCAAATGATTCCTACCACTGAAAATCATCCGTCAGAGTTATCTAACAGTAAACAGCCCTGTGATATGATTAAATTCTTAAAATAAAAAGAAACATTTCCAACTCAGAAGATGTAAGAGTTTAACTGAATAGTTAATTCCAGAGAGATAGTCTAAATGTTTGTCTTCTATTCTCTTTTCAACAATTCTTTTCCTATTAGCACTTTGAAAAAGAATTTGATGTAATCTAAGGAGAGGGGAATCTCCAATGCTTTAGATTAGCTAGATACATGATAAGCAGTTAAGAATTTCCAAATTCACTAGATAAAAGGCTTAATTTCTGATCTTGAATGAGGTACTGAAGGCAAATTAAGTCTCCATTACTTCATCTTAGACTTTGTATGAGGCCCTGAGAAAAGTATTTCCTTTATAAAACAAGCAAATATTTGTGTTTTACACAACAGATTTGGGGGGAGGGGGGTAGTATCGATTTTACCTATTCACTTGGTACTAACTCAATTTTATCAGTATTTATCCATACAACCATGAATAAGTTTTTTTTCAAATAAAAATTTCTTAAATAAAAAATAAAATATAATTAGCAAGAGGCAGTAGAAAGCAGTACAATTAGTGACAGCATTGAAGGAGTGAATGCAGCAGAAACCTATACGGCTTAGTGGGCACAGCAATCCACTTCAAAAAATTGCCATATATAATTTGATACAAATAACAGTATCTACTGAGGAGAGGCTGACGAGTGAGTCGCATGTGCCTTCATGGAGAAAATTACTTCTGATTGAGGCCACTTGACAGCA